ATGCAAATCTGTCAGAGACCTGCAGCAAACAAGCTGTGCACTGCAAAAGTGTCCCTCAGATTAGATCTAGTCCAAACCACTTTTAGATTTTATTTTGAGATCAATATTCTGATCAAGAATAGATTCTGTTACATAATTAATCTTTTGAGAAGATTTTACTCAAAATAAGTCCAATAATTCATCAGCGCTTCAAAAGTAAACATCTGATCGGGTAAATAAGATGACAATGAAATCAGGACTTCTGTCCTTAAAATAAGATTAATAAATATTGTGCAATTTAAATAGGATAAGAAAGTTGATTTTTGAGCTTAAATATAAATCATGGTAATCTTTTGTTAAATTACCTCCCTAAATTAAGGAAAAGTTAATTTATTTTAAGGAAAACTGATATATATATTTCACTTTTAGCAGCACTTTACTGACTTATTTCTTGTTTTGAAATATATAATAAATATGATATCAAAAGTAGAGCTGCAACTACCGATTGCAAATCGATTAATCTGTCTATTCTTTTTTTGAATAATCATCGCCAAAGGTTCCTAAAATAAGAATTTTCACATAAGTAAAGCAAGTGAAAATAAAACGTTTCCACTTGAGGATTTCTGGATAGAGCATGTTGACAGATGAGGACTTTTTTTTTATCTTAAAAGCAAATTCTTTTTACAGCTTTGTAATAAGTACTGCTGTAAATTGGTTACTTTGTCAGCTAAAATCATGTTTTAGAGTCTCTATACTCCAGTTAACAATTAATTGATTACTAAATTAGGTGATGATTATTTAAAAAATCGATTAATCTGGATTAATCCCATTGTTTCAGCCCTAATCAAGAGGTCTAAATAAGTCACTTATAACATGAAGTGCAATTGTCTTTCTGTACTGACAGATTATTACTACTAGAATCCCTGATTCTGATGATGATGATGATGATGATGATTCTGATGATGATGATGATGATGATGATGATGATGATGATGATGATGATGATGATGATGATGATGATGATGATGATGATGATGATATCTTTAGTTATCATTTGATTGTTGTGGGGAGATTAATTTGCACAAAAATTCGTTTTTTGTTTTTCTTTATTTATTTTTTTTTATACTGCAAAAATTGAAATAAGTGTTTTGTTCTTGAATCGGATGTATTTTCCTTTGATTTTAGCACATAGTTAAGACATTTTGCCAATGGAATAAGAACATTTACATTTAAAATGAGAAAAAAACAACTACATGACCTTGGTTCAAGTTTATACTTTTTAATTCTATTATTATAAGGACAAGAAAACATTCATTGCATTGGTAGATTATCTGATTTACCTGCTCAGATTAAGCATGAAAACACTGATTCTACAAAAGTTTGAATTGTTGTAATATCTTTTATCTTTTTTTTTTCTGTGCAATAAAATGATGAGCAGCTTTAGAAGGCGAAGCCTTCCCAGGGCAGCGTTCCACATTCCCAGACAGGTTTGGATTCAGCCGCCAACAGGAGTTCATGTGCATAGAGGAGGATGTGGGATGTCTCTTTCATTGCCCTGAAGCAGTGGATATCTCAGGCGGGTTAGTAGTCTAACATACAGACCCCAGTAGACTGTGTGTCACCATCTGCTGAGCTGTGATGAGCTCTGCCCCCCGCCCCCCCAGCATGTGCTGCAGACAGCGATGAGCCCATTAGAAACCGCTGTCTCCACGGCAGACCAACTGAGAGAGAACGGCGTTCCTGAAGCATCTCCAGCATCTTCCTCCCGTTAGAAGCAGCTTAACAAGCAGAGATTCCTGCTCACACGCTGCAGGTCGAAAGACGCTGATGCTGATTATTTTCACTACAGTCCGGATAGGATCCTCCATATGCTCTGCTGATTTGTTCTCTATTGGTACCAATTCTTGAAGACAATATTGCCCTTTTTTTTTCCTTCCTCCGTTTACATGATAGATACATTTTCCTTAAAGGAGAGACTAAGGGCTTGTGCAAATCTTTTGGTGTGGTTTGGCCCCCTAGAGCAGGGTTTTTTTTAAGTAGACAACAATCATTCAGTTTGGTAAATAGACAATTTCCTGATTCACATATTTTATAAAATACCTGAACTGACAGTTTGTTTTGTTTTTTCTGTCTTAATGTTGGCAGTGGGCTTTATGCTGCCCTGCAAGGCTTTAAACCTGGTTTGAATGGAGACTAAGCCATTCTAAAGCACATATCAAGGAGCTCATTTTGAGCCTGGATCCATATCTATTTTTGATTCTGTTCATGGTGGAGAATCCTGCTTCACAGCAGCAGGTTGAGCCAAACATCCTCTAAATGTTCAGGGTCATCTTTGAGCACCATTTCACTTTTCTTTCACCAGTTCACCACAGTTCTCTTCCCCATGGCCGTGCATCGCGGCGCAAGCAAAATTAGACACTGTCGTCGGACAACATGCGGTAATTTATAAATGTTTTAAATCGAATTGGGTCCAGATTAGCCAGCAGATGGGTCCGGATCCGTACCACGGTCGGCTAATCCCTGACCTCTGGCCTTGTGGTTAGAGCAGTGTGCTTGTGCTCTGAGAGGGTTGCAAGTACCAGGCTGGATACCCACAGTCTGCACTCTGGGTTCCTGAGCAAAGACCCTTAACCCCACACTGCTCCCCAGGTGCCGCACAATGGCAGCTCACTGCTCCCCAAATGGATGTGTTAAATGCAGAGAGTGAATTATGTTACTCCATACTTGTGACAGTGTAATGACAATAAAACGTTGGAAAAAAAAAAAAGATAACAAATGCAACACATCTCAGTTTCAACAGAACAAAACAAAATATTTGCAGATAATCTTAAGAAAAAATATATATATATCGCCCAAAAAAATGAGATGGTGGATGAAATGATCTATTTTTAATATACAAACATAGATTCTGTCCTTTGCTATGATAGCAGCTAAGGAATATGGAACCGGAACCAGATAAAGATGGTCTGTGAAATGTAGAGGCGCATTCATTGATTGATGATCAGCAGATAATTAGATGTGAAAACGTGTCAATGCTGTAAACTTAGCACCACCTGATGGACGTTTCAACTGTAATATTTAATATATTCTCAATAAGATAAGATTGAAATATTGAAGATTTGACAAAAGCTGACAGTGTTGGAACAGGTAACGGCTGATCATCCTGCTGCACCCAGGAGGACGATCCTGCAGAGAATCAGAGATGCGTTCAACGCCTCAGACCTTTGAAACGTCTGTGAAGCTGCAGCAGATTCTGGCCTCCTGAGTGTTTAAAGAAAAGCTCTTCTCTCCATGTGGGTCTTTGTTCTCATGTCCTCCGCTGTGCACAAAATGACTCCGCTGAGCAGCGTAGCATAAAGCGATGGCAAACCGCAGAGGAGCGGAACAGATGAGGCCCTGACTGATGCTGTCTAGAAGTTCACAGCTTCCATCTAGAATCTATGCAATGGACATCTATTTATCAGCTCATGTTCATGGAGGAAAACAGCAGAGTCTAGAATCTGATTTCTGTTTTTCTACATCTGGGTTAGTATGGTGGGGAAGATGGAATAATGAATATATTTACAGTATTCAGTATTCTTTAATTTAAGTGTTGTGTCCTTCCTTCTTTCCTTTCTTCCTTAGTTCCTTCCATCCTTCCTTGTTTCTTTCTTCCTTTCCCTTTTTTTCTCTTTTTCTGCTTTCTCCATTTGTTTATTTCTTTCCTTTCTTCTTATATTTCCATATTTTTTCTTACATTTTATTATCCGTCTTCCTTTTATTCTTTCAGTCCTTTAAATCCTTCCTCCTTTCACCCTCTTTTCTTGATTTCTTTTCCTTTCTTTGTTGTTCCTTATTCCCTTTCTTGCCCCTGTGTTTTTTTTCCTTCTTTTTTTCTTTTGTCTTGCTTTCTTCCCTTATGTCATGTCTACATTTTTTTTTATTTTTAGGGGGTTTTTTTTCTTTGTCCTTCTTTTCTTTCCCTTCCTTCCTTCCTTCCTTCCTTCCTTCCTTCCTTCCTTCCTTCCTTCCTTCCTTCCTTCCTTCCTTCCTCTGTGATTCCTTTATCTATACTTTAACTTCATTGATCCAATTTATCTTTTCTTTCTGTCTTTCTTTCTGTACTTTTTAAAGTTCCCTTTCTCTCTTCTTTTCGTTTCTTTCCTAATTTTAAAAATCTTTTCTTTAATTACTTCTTTCTCCTGCGCCTTCCTCATTCTCTTTCCACATTCCTTTTTTTCATATTTTTTCCTTCATTTATTCCTTTCCTACTTCCTATAGTTTTTTGAGTAGTTAATGGACTTTAAAGTCTGAAATAACATTAAACTTTGACACTTTAATCGTGGATAGAGAACCTCTCGGACTCTGTTGTTTTTTTTAAACAGTATTCTTTAAAAACTGGGCCGTTTTATTGTGAATCTCACCAACAGTGAAAAGATTATTTTAGGCTCACCCTGATGCAGATAAAGTCAATCTAATGTAGGTATTAAATAAAAGCCTAACAGTGATTGATAAGCAACACATGGACATCCCATAAATCATCCCTGCTCTGTCATTAAGCCTTCACGGCCGCGCGTGGAACAGAGAACATCCCATAAATCACAACAACACCTGTGGTGCAGCAACTCACTAATCAGACACTAACCTGACCGCAGCATTATCACTATTAATTAGTGAAGGGCAGAACTGATCACAAACAGCTGACTAACTTGGATGATGCGCTGCCCTTTTCATTCATCGCTCTCTCTGCATCTCTGAAGTCACAAAGGCGCCGCGAGGAGCGGAGCCCTCAGCTGAACGCGCGTGCCTCCGCCGGTAACAACGGCAGCTCGGACGGTGACACAACAAAGGCGTTTTTTCTTTTCTTTTAGTCCAATCACTTTCCCCGCCTCCTCACAGAGACAATAATAAATAAATTAAAATAGAAAAACAACCAGCAACCAGCTTTCTTTCCACCCATCCCATTCAGCACTGAACACGCACAGATGCGTGGCTGTTAACACAGGAGCAAAAATCAAAACAAAGCGGCGTGCGGGACTCACCACGGCTGCTCCAGTTCCCAGTCCCTGAAAAAGTCGAATTCAAAGAGGTCCATGTCCGGTTCGGCCGCTGCTGCCGCTGGTTAGAATCCAAAGCCTGCCGCTGCTACGTGGTTCTACATGAGCCGCTGGTTCAGAGTGGCTGGGAGAGAGGAGACAGGCTGCTGCCGGGAAGCTGCTACGTGGTAGGAGAGAGCTGACAGCCCAGCAGAGGAGGAGGGAGGGAGGGAGGAACACACAGCTCCATACTGAGATATTCACTGGAAACTAAATGAGATATTCACTGGAAACTAAATGAGATATTCACGGAAAACACTGGAAACTAAATAAGATATTCACTGGAAACATAAAGAGATATTCACTGGAAACAAAAAGAGATATTTACTGGAAACAAAATGAGATATTCACTGGAAACTTAATGAGATATTCACTGGAAACATAAAGAGATATTCACTGGAAACAAAAAGAGATATTCACTGGAAACTAAATGAGATATTCATGGAAAACACTGGAAACTAAATAAGATATTCACTGGAAACATAAAGAGATATTCACTGGAAAAAAAATCAGATATTCACTGGAAACAAAAAGAGATATTCACTGGAAACAAAAAGAGATATTTACTGGAAACAAAAAGAGATATTCAGTGGAAACAAAAAGAGATATTTACTGGAAACAAAAAGAGATATTCTCTGGAAACAAATAGAGATATTCACTGAAAACCAAAAGAGATATTCACTGGAAACAAAATCAGATATTCACTGGAAACAAAAAGAGATATTCACGGAAAACACTGGAAAATAAATAAGATATTCACTGGAAACATAAGGTGATATTCACTGGAAACAAAATGAGATATTCACTGGAAACAAAAAGAGATATTCACTGGAAACAAAATCAGATATTCACTGGAAACAAAGAGATATTCACTGGAAATAAAAAGAGATATTTACTGGAAACAAAATGAGATATTCACTTGAAACAAAAAGAGATATTAACTGAAAACAAAAAGAGATATTCACTGGAAACAAAATGAAATATTCACTGGAAACAAAAAGAGATATTTACTGGAAACTAAATGAGATATTCACGGAAAACACTGGAAACTAAATAAGATATTCACTGGAAACATAAAGAGATATTCACTGGAAACAAAATCAGATATTCACTGGAAACAAAGAGATATTCACTGGAAACAAAAAGAGATATTTACTGGAAACAAAAAGAGATATTCACTGGAAACAAAAAGAGATATTTACTGGAAACAAAAAGAGATATTCTCTGGAAACAAATAGAGATATTCACTGGAAACAAAAAGAGATATTTACTGGAAACAAAAAGAGATATTCACTGAAAACAAAAAGAGATATTCACTGGAAACAAAATGAGATATTCACTGGAAACAAAAAGAGATATTCACGGAAAACACTGGAAGCTAAATAAGATATTCACTGGAAACATAAAGAGATATTCACTGGAAAACACTGGAAAATAAATAAGATATTCACTGGAAACATAAAGTGATATTCACTGGAAACAAAATGAGATATTCACTGGAAACAAAAAGAGATATTCACTGGAAACAAAATCAGATATTCACTGGAAACAAAGAGATATTCACTGGAAATAAAAAGAGATATTTACTGGAAACAAAATGAGATATTCACTTGAAACAAAAAGAGATATTAACTAAAAACAAAAAGAGATATTCACTGGAAACAAAATGAAATATTCACTGGAAACAAAAAGAGATATTCACTGGAAACTAAATGAGATATTCACGGAAAACACTGGAAACTAAATAAGATATTCACTGGAAACATAAAGAGATATTCACTGGAAACAAAATCAGATATTCACTGGAAACAAAGAGATATTCACTGGAAACAAAAAGAGATATTTACTGGAAACAAAAAGAGATATTCACTGGAAACAAAAAGAGATATTTACTGGAAACAAAAAGAGATATTCTCTGGAAACAAATAGAGATATTCACTGGAAACAAAAAGAGATATTTACTGGAAACAAAAAGAGATATTCACTGAAAACAAAAAGAGATATTCACTGGAAACAAAATGAGATATTCACTGGAAACAAAAAGAGATATTCACGGAAAACACTGGAAGCTAAATAAGATATTCACTGGAAACATAAAGAGATATTCACTGGAAACAAAATGAGATATTCACTGGAAACAAAAAGAGATATTCACTGGAAACAAAATCAGATATTCACTGGAAACAAAAAGAGATATTCACTGGAAACAAAAAGAGATATTTACTGGAAACAAAAAGAGATATTCACTTGAAACAAAAAGAGATATTCACTGAAAACAAAAAGAGATATTCACTGGAAACAAAATGAAATATTCACTGGAAACAAAATCAGATATTCACTGGAAACAAAAAGAGCTATTCACTGGAAACAAAAAGAGCTATTCACGGAAAACACTGGAAACTAAATAAGATATTCACTGGAAACTAAATGAGATATTAACAGAAAACACTGGAAACTAAATAAGATATTCACTGGAAACAAAATCAGATATTCACTGGAAACAAAAAGAGATATTCACTGGAAACAAAAAGAGATATTTACTGGAAACAAAAAGAGATATTCACTGGAAACAAAAAGAGATATTTACTGGAAACAAAAAGAGATATTCACTGGAAACAAAAAGAGATATTTACTGGAAACAAAAAGAGATATTCTCTGGATACAAATAGAGATATTCACTGGAAACAAAGAGAGATATTTACTGGAAACAAAAAGAGATATTCACTTGAAACAAAAAGAGATATTCACTGAAAACAAAGAGATATTCACTGGAAACAAAATCAGATATTCACTGGAAACAAAAAGCTATTCACTAGAAACAAAATGAGATATTCACTGGAAACAAAAAGAGATATTCACGGAAAACACTGAAAACTAAATAAGATATTCACTGGAAACATAAAGAGATATTCACTGGAAACATAAAAAAGAGATATTCACTGGAAACTAAATGAGATATTCACAGAAAACACTGGAAACTAAATAAGATATTCACTGGAAACAAAAAGAGATATTCACTGGAAACAAAAAGAGATATTTACTGGAAACAAAAAGAGATATTCACTGGAAAAAAAGAGATATTTACTTGAAACAAAAAGAGATATTCTCTGGAAACAAATAGAGATATTCACTGGAAACAAAAAGAGATATTTACTGGAAACAAAAAGAGATATTCACTTGAAACAAAAAGAGATATTCACTGAAAACAAAAAGAGATATTCCCTGGAAACTAAATGAGATATTCACGGAAAACACTGGAAACTAAATAAGATATTCACTGGAAACAAAAAGAGATATTCACTGGAAACAAAAAGAGATATTTACTGGAAACAAAAAGAGATATTCACTGGAAAAAAAGAGATATTTACTTGAAACAAAAAGATATTCTCTGGAAACAAATAGAGATATTCACTGGAAACAAAAAGAGATATTTACTGGAAACAAAAAGAGATATTCACTTGAAACAAAAAGAGATATTTACTGGAAACAAAAAGAGATATTCACTGGAAACAAAAAGAGATATTTACTGGAAACAAAAAGAGATATTCACTGGAAAAAAAGAGATATTTACTTGAAACAAAAAGAGATATTCTCTGGAAACAAATAGAGATATTCACTGGAAACAAAAAGAGATATTTACTGGAAACAAAAAGAGATATTCACTTGAAACAAAAAGAGATATTCACTGAAAACAAAAAGAGCTATTCACTGGAAACTAAATGAGATATTCACGGAAAACACTGGAAACTAAATAAGATATTCACTGGAAACAAAATCAGATATTCACTGGAAACAAAAACAGATATTCACTGGAAACAAAAAGAGATATTTACTGGAAACAAAAAGAGATATTCACTGGAAACAAAAAGAGATATTTACTGGAAACAAAAAGAGATATTCTCTGGAAACAAATAGAGATATTCACTGGAAACAAAAAGGGATATTTATTGGAAACAAAAAGAGATATTCACTTGAAACAAAAAGAGATATTCACTGAAAACAAAAAGAGATATTCACTGGAAACAAAATGAAATATTCACTGGAAACAAAATCAGATATTCACTGGAAACAAAAAGAGCTATTCACTGGAAACAAAAGGAGATATTCACTGGAAACAAAAAGAGATATTCACTGGAAACAAAAAGAGATATTCACTGGAAACAAAAAGAGATATTCACTGGAAACCAAATGAGATATTCACTGGAAACCAAATGAGATATTCACTGGAAACAAAATTAGATATTCACTGGAAACAAAAAGAGATATTCACTGAAAACACAAAAGAGATATTCACTGAAAACAAAAAGAGATATTCACTGGAAACAAAAGAGATATTCACTGAAAACAAAAAAGAGATATTCACTGAAAACAAAAAGAGACATTCACTGGAAACTAAATGAGATATTCACTGGAAACAAAATGAGATATTCACTGGAAACAAAATGAGATATTTACTAGAAACAAAAAGAGATATTCACTGGAAACAAAATGAGATATTTACTGGAAACAAAAAGAGATATTCACTGGAAACCAAATGAGATATTCACTAGAAACAAAATGAGATATTCACTGAAAACTAAATGAGATATTCACTGGGAACAAAATGAGATATTCACTGGAAACTTAATGAGATATTCACTGGAAACTTAATGAGATATTCACAAAAAAATAAATTAGATATTCACTGGAAACCAAATGAGATATTCACTGGAAAATAAATGAGATATTCACTGGAAACAAAACTAATAAAAAGATTATTTTATACGACAGAGTATGAGGGCCAGGCTAGAAATTTTTTCCTTCTATTTCGAGAATAAAGTCGTAACATTACTCGAATAACGTCGTAAAATTACGAAAATAAAATTGCAACGAGAATAGTCATAAAATAATGAGAATAAAGTCATAACATTACGATAATAAGGTCTTAACATTACGAGAATTAAGCCATAAATTTCCGAAAATAAAGTCGTAACATTACGAGAATAAAGTCGTAATATTACGAGAATGAAGTCGTAAAATTACGAATATAAAACTGTAACATTACGAGAATAAAGCCGTAATATTACGAGAATGAAGTTGTAAAATTACGAGAATAAAATCACAACGAGAATAGTCATAACATTATGAGAATGAAGTCTTAA